CCCCACTGCTGCGACTCCTCAGCAGTTCCTTATGTTGTGGTGGCCCTCAGCCAGAAAATTATTTTTGTTGCTACTTCATATCTGTAATTTTACTACTATGTTGAATTGTAATGGAAATATCTGCTATGCAGGATGGTCTTAGGCAACCCCTTGTGAAAGGGTCTTCAGCCCCCAAAGAGGCCTCGACCCACAGGTTGAGAACCACTGCATTAGAAAGATGAGACTGTGTCACTCCAAGGAAGGTCATATAGGCTGATGACCCCTTGGTCTGGAGAGAGACCACCACGAAATTCTGCCACATCATTTCAAAGTGAAGTAAGCAAGCCTGTCACTAAGATAACCCCAGTTGTGATGTTAGATTGTTCTATATTTGGTGGGACTGCCCCCACCGGAAAGCACTGGAACACTGACTTCCCAGTAATACTTTTGTTTACATTTTTCTTCTTTTAGATTCATTTTTATTTTGAATGTATGAATGTTTTGCCTGCAGACCAGAAGAGGGCACCAGATTTCATTATGGGTCCATGTAGGTGCTGGGAATTGAACTCAGGTCCTCTGAAAGAGCAGCCAGTGCTCTGAACCACGGAGCCACCTCTCCAGCCCCTGGGTTTGTTTTTCAAGAAATTATCTCATATAGAGCAGCCAGCTTGGCCTTCATCCTCTAGGAAGCTGAGACTGGCTCTGAGCTCTTGACCCTCCTGTCCCTTTCCTAAGTGCTGAGATTGCAAGCATGCACCACCACACTTAGATTAGAAAGCATTTTAGAAGCAGTTGGAGATGGTTACTCACCAGAAACTCTGAAAATTCTGAAATGGTCCAAAGTGGTTTCTCTAAAGATAGAGTGGAAGTGGGGAGCTAGACATGGCAATCTCTGCTCTTTACATCTCTTGTGCAGTGTGATTGTTTTGCTCGTGTGTGTGTGTGCGTGTGTGTGTGTGTGTGTGTGTGTGTGTATGTTCTTGTATGTGCAGGTACATGTGTGTGTATGGAGGGGTGCCTGTAGATGACAGAGGACACGAGTGACTATTATCTGACTTCTTTTCCTTTTCTTTTTCTTTTTCTTTTTGTTTTGGAGACAGAGTCTCTCGCTGGTTTGGGGATGAAGGCAGAATCCACTTGTCTCTCTCTGCCTGCCCAATGCCAGGATTAAAACAGTGTGCTTCCATGCCTGGGTTTTTAAATGTGCATTCTAGGAAGCAAACTCAGGTCCTCATGCTTAAAAAGCAGGGGCTTTACTGTCTAAGTTGTCTTCCAGACTGACCAATCTTTTACTATAAATATCTACTTATTAAAATGTTTGTGATAATATTAAATTACCTGTAACCAAATAAAATAATTACACATGTATCTTAAAATCTGATCCATAAAGTGTTGGAATGACCTCTCTCCAGTTCTGGCCTCTCAATATGGAGTTCAGTGGGCTCAGTCCTCTAAAACTGGTCTGAACCCACTTCCACAGTGTCGTTACTATAGATGCTGTCTATCCACAGACAACTAGCACTGGTATTTATAACTACATCACAGTCCTCTTTCTGGAACTTCAGATTCTCATTGATCTTACCACAGATTGCTCAGCCTGTTGAATAGGCTCCTCTCAACCCCTCCTTCTGCACTGTTTTCATGTGAGAACGACTCACTTTCTCTGAAATCCCGTCTCTGTTTCCCCCACCCCCATGCCCCGTGTCTCTTTCCTGAAGACGTCAGGCTCATAACAGGGATCCAGTACCTCACTACACGTACTCTTTTCTGCATCTAGCAGCTAATGGGCAAGAGTAAATAGAATCATAATGTTCTTATCCTAAGACTTTCCAGGGCCTCCCATGGGTGTAGTTGGAGTGTAAAAATAGATAATGGCTAGAAATGCATAATCAGCAAATACAGTAATTAAGCATTGTGTTATAAAGGAATTGCAACTCAAAGGAATTAAAGAAATAATTCCCTAAGTACATACAAATATAGGCTATTCAGTGGGAAATGTTAAGTCTCACATGATAGCAAGACTGAGTAAGATTAAGACATTAAATGGACATGCATGTTCTAAAGAGGAAACACAAATTTCTAGCATATATTTTGAAAAAAAATGCAGTCACAAAATACAAGCATACAACAATCAAGACCGTAAGAGAAAATGCACTTGAACCCAGTCGGCCACCTCGAGCTGTTAGTGGTGACTGATTGTCTATCCTCGTCCCACGTTTTACCAATTGCCTGATAGCTGCTTTCCTTGCTGGGGAATGAGTCTGAGAAACATCTGTCTTTCTCACATCTTTCCCAGTATGTGCACAGGGCTGAAGGTTACAGAGCTTTACGGTAAGTGTGAAATTCGGTCAAAACTTGAGACACAGCAGAAGGGGGAAGAGCTTTACTCTCCGACAATGACAGATGGTGATATAAATTATCCGACTCTCACATAACACTAGCCACCAAAATAATGCATGTAGTTTTCCTTTATAGGATACCAAAATGTTCATGATCTGATGTAAAGAGAAAGAGAAAACAAACCCAACACAGACTGTAAACAAGCAACCACAGAAAGGAAATCTCTGATAAATATCTATTTAAGACAAGCCCTTACACTTCCATGCCCGTATGGCCGTGGAAACCAGTAAAAGCAGCCTCCTACAAAGAGGGCTAGATAAGGAAACTTCTTGTTTCCGCTTCGTCCCTAGGGAGAGGAATGAAAAATCTCAACAAAGGATTTGGATTACAAGCCAATATTTGAGCTAGCCTTCACTTGGAAGTCACCCTGCCAGCCCTATCCAAGAGACTTCAAGCAGGGCTTTGACTCAGCTTAGTCTCAGGTTGGCTCTTCCCCATGGCTGACAAAGCAACCAGAAATCTCTTCTGTGACAACCAGACCTCAGTGACAATTGTCAAGACATCACAGCGTGGTTAAACACAAATGCACTCTGTGTTCTAGAATTGATGAGATCGGACAATTTAAGTCCTTACAATTACCATCTACATTGAGGCTGTAGACTAAAAACATTCTGTACTTTATGTAATGCAGATATAGTTAGTATTTGAGAAAGTAAATGATTTATTTTAAAATTTAGACATGGTGTTCTAGGTGAACCCGTTTTGAAATATCATTACCTCAGGCAAGTATCTCTGGTATCATGGCCTTTCTCCCATGGTTTTTCAAATACTTGTTCCCAAGCAGAACGGCTCTAACAGCTAAACTCAATGTCTCTGTATTGTTATATGACAGCTCAGTAGATACAGAGATCAATCTGGTGGTCAGGATCAAAAACATCTTTCAGACTGTGAATGTGTACACTAAAGCAGAGCACTGGCACCATCACTAACATCTTGGTGCACCTACCACTTGCAAGATACTAAATAAATTCTGGCAAGAGGGCCTATGGCTTGGGAGCCCAAGTCTCTGCTTTCACTTCCTGAGTTGACCGATATCTGTTGAGCAACTTCATGCAAAGCACTAGGAACATACTGTTGGGCTCCATGGTCAGCAGACTAGACTATGCTGAAGACAGAACATGGCTGTCAGTCTGGAAACTTCGCTCTTCTGCATCTACAGAGAGCTGGAAGTTACATTTATGGGTGTATATATAGTCCTAGGACATTATATTAGGGGGTGCTGGTAGAGGCACACATTGCCATAAAAGATCAAGAAAGGATCTTTTTCAAGAAAGAAAAAATCCATTTCCCCTAAAACTGGTGACTTTGGAAAGGTTAAGGATTATTTGCCAACCCCCATTTTGTAATAAAAAATAAAATATTGTATGTCTCAACCTCAGGAACTTTGGCTGTGGCGCAGTTTTCTCACATATTGGTGTATGGCCTTGAGAGTTTGTGAATAACCCAGCCTGGTGTGCCCTCGAATTAAAACTGGATTGTGTCTTGGCTGTGGCTGGGATTGTATGTCTCCGAACTCCCATTTCAGGAATGACCTCATTAACTGAGTGCGATGACCACTCCACATGTCTTTAGGGGATGGGAGTCAGGCTGAACTAACTAATGATGATGGTAGCAATCCCTACTCTTTTTTGGTAAAATGTTAAATTGCAAGTCTCATATTTGGAACTAGCAGCAGCTGTGGGCAGTCATTGATGACTCTCTTGAGACTAGGATTAAGCATATTATTATTGCATCCCTGGCAGGAAGACCATGAGCTTCACAAAGGTCCCTGGAATAACAGGTAACACAGAAACCCACCAAGTCCTTGTCTGAAACTGGGCCTTCTTGAAACACGGGGTGACTTGTGTATCTATGTAATTGTCTCTTGCCATCTTATTTTTTTCTTATGATTTTAATGGCTTCTTTTGCATACTTCTGAGCTAGTCACCAGGTTGACACCTCCCCCCCCAAGTTGGGACATTCAAAATTTTATTTGTTAATATAAAGGGAGTTCCTAGGCAATCCTTACTTTCTAAAGGCACAGGCATAAGGACTGACCTCCCCCACTCCTCTGACTTCTTTTTCTGCTCTTTTTAATGTAGAACAACACCCATAACCCTCCAACTTAATATCTTCAAATGGCACATACACAAGGAAATAAATTCCCAGTGTTATCCCAATCAGTCACCCCACAATCCTGAATTATGTGTAGATTTGAAACATCTGGGAAGTCAGCAGTCCTCTGCTTTACTTCCTGACTTGGAAGCAGCTTTCACCAAGCTCTCAGGATTATATAATATATGTGCTCCGGTCCTTAAAAATAATGGTGACGTACACAAATTCACTGTGGAATCCTAGGTGGCAAGGCGCTTCAACCCACGCGCAGGTGGACAGACTAAGGGATGTCCGCCCTGCACCCAACACTCTGGGTCAAGAGCACCCACATACAGAGATGCAGAACTGAAGCCCAGACCAGGCCCTGGGGCACGGATCCCGAGCGGGCCACTTTCGCGAGCTTCCGGGCTCTGCCCATCGGCTGGGACAGGGGCAGGGGCAGGGGCAGGGGCAGGTGTGGCCAAGCCCGGCGGGCACCAAGAGAGCGGCCGCACGGCGCAGAGCGGCGGGGCGGGCAGGCCCGGAGGGGAGTGCCCGCAGCCCGCCCCGCCCCTCGCGCCTCGGCTCCGCCTCGCCTCGCCATGGTGGAGCAGGGAGACGCGGCGCCGCTACTGCGCTGGGCCGAGGGCCCCGCGGTCTCTGTGCCGCAGGACCCCGCGCTGCAGGCGGGAGGATGGGCTCGGGGCGGCGGTGGGAGCGGCCGAGCGGCCGCGGAAGCGCCCCGAAGGCGGGAACCCGACGAGCCAGCACCCCCCGAAGTGCTGCTGCAGCCCGGGCGTCTGGAGCTGGGCGACGTGGAGGAGGACCAGGTGGTGGCTGTGTTCGTGGTCACCTTCGATCCCCGCTCGGGTGAGAGACGCTTAGGGCTGGAGAGATGGTTGGGAGGGGAGGGCGACCGCCCGCTAGGTTGCGGGGGAAGGACCCGTTGGAGGCGCACTCCCTGCACACACCTGCATCCCTCCGCGCCCGGGGGTCCCGGGGCACGGGGGCGCTGTGCCCCAGATGGGAACCCAGGGATCTTGGGGGCTTTGTTCCGCCCGCTTCCCCGTCCCGCCGCGGCTCTCAGCTCCGCTCCGGTGCCTCTTCGCGGCTCTCCCGCTTGCTCCGCTTCAGTACGGGAGGGTTGGTTTGTGGCCGCGGGCACGTTGGCTTTTGTTTTCTCTCTTTTTCCTGCTCAGCTGGAAGGTTCTTTCGACGCCGAGAGGAGGGAACCCACCCCCACTCTCCATCCCCGCTTAAGTCGCCTCCCACGCGGGTCCTGAAAGACCCTGCTCTGTGCTGGTTGCTTCCAGCGAGGTAACTTTCCTAGGCGCCAAGTTCACTTTCTCCGAAGGCTTTATTTTGAGGAATTAACGTGGGAGCATTTGGAGATGGAGCTGGAGAAGCCTTCTCTGGCAGGCTGTCTTTCTAGGAGAACTAACTGGTTATGTCACACTGTCTTTACCCTAACCACCCACTGAGGGGGGTGTGCGTTGCCACAGTGGGCGGTTCCGAATGGGGGGGGGAGGTAAAAGTGAATGCAAGGGCTGTGGGCTCTGCATCGCAATCCCCAAGCCGCTGTACCGCTTCACATTTGAAGGAGAAGGAACGCCCAGATTCGTCCTCCCAGCTTTCCCCTTGGAGTTGCTGGAGTGAGGATTTGGTGTTTGTGAAGGAAGGAAGTGTTTTCTTCTTTCTGGGAGTTCCTACTTCCAGAAACCAGTCTTCCTACCCTGAAGGTATGCATGGTAGGAAGATTTGGATTCTGTGAAAGGGATCCAGATGTGATGGGAACTGGTGGCTTCTCGGAAGAGCGGCTTAACTGTGGTCAAAGATTCTGAGCCCGCAAACAGGCATACATGGTCCCTAACTAAGGCAACAGCCCCATTCCTAGTGGCAGGGTTTGTGGGAAGAACTCGAGTCCATTTGGTTCCTGTCTGCCTCTTCACCTCATTCCATTGACTTTCAAACTTTTTTTTTTGACTTCGACCTGCTATGTGGAATTAAATTTACATTACAACCAGCACATTTGAACCAAATGAAGCCAGAGTTTCCTGAAATAGCATTGACCGCCCCCCCCCCCGTACTTTTTTCTTACTGCTATTACACATATTGCTTGACTCTTACAACTAGGACTCTTATACGTACATGGTTTTAAAAAATACTAAGATTTAAATAAAAAACCCAAACCCTTAATGTTAGACAAAACAATACTTTTTTTTTTTAAAAGCTAACTGTATTTCCTGTGGAGTACCCCTTCTTGTGAAGGTAAATAGAGGCAAGCTTAAAAGTCACTTGAAGTGTATGTAGGAACTGGAAAGTGGGCATTGATGGCTCCTGACTGCATAATGGTAGCTGTCTGGTGATATAGTCGAGGGAAAGGAGGGGAAAAGAAAACCTCACAGTAATCACAGGCAGAGCTGAAAAGATAGATTATTGATCAGTTACTATCACTGATCAGTTATTGGTAGCCATCAGTTGGTAATTAATATTGATCAATTCATAAAAGCTCCCAAAGACTGTGTGGGCTTCTAGTCACAGCTGCTGACTATGGTTTTCTTGTTTATGCCTCTCTCTCTCTCTCTCTCTCTGTGTGTGTGTGTTAGAGAGAGAGAGTTTTCAGACTAAGGTTAATGTGAAAAGACAGAGCTGTCACTCACCCTGCCACGTGTGCAGGCGTTTTACTATAATCCTGTTTGGTTTAATTCGAACTGCTCTATAATTTGTTGATTATTTATACTTAGTTTATTCGTGAGGAAAGGCACCAAGGATGGTTCCAGATTTGGGGATGAACTAACCAGTATCTACTTGACTCTTAATCAGCTATCTTTCTAGCTGCCTGACCCTCTGTCCCCTCACTTTGCCTCATCACAAACCTAGGGATCTGGGGAGAGGAAGGTGTGTGCACCTGGGTAGGCGTCATTAGCTTGGTTTAGTGGTGAGGAGAAAGCAGCTGTTTCCTATCCATCTCCTTTCCTCTAATCCTCCCACCCTGTAAATGACTCCTCTCATCCTGCGAAATCTGCTGGTAGTTCTTGTGTAAAATAAAGTTGCATAGCACATCTTTTAGAAGTAGCAGAGGAATGGATGAAGGCTGCTGAGAAGTCCTAGGTCACTAACTTCAGCACCAGGACGACAGAAAGAGCACACGGGCCCCGTGTGGATGGTGGTTGAGGAAGGACAGTGTAAAGAGGTGAGTGAAATCCACTCTGTCCTGCAAGCTGGAGCCATCACTGCGGTTAGAATTGTGTCTCTGTTTTAACCCAGGATCTCATCCGCTCTCTGAAGCCCCATCTGCCTTATGTTCCTAATTAATACTGAGCACCCAGGCAAGTTCCCCAGCCTGTGTTACCAGAAGTAGTCAAGTAGAAACTTCTGCTGTGCTCAGATCAGAGTGGGCCTCATCAAGTTCACAGGTGTGTAGGTTCTGTCTCACGTCTTCCCCATGTCTTTCCTGTCTCCGTCCTCAGAATCCACCCAACCACTGTCCAGACAGTGGACTGTTCATGTATCCTCTCACCCAATACGGGTTACTTTTGGCGTATGTACAAGTCAGTGTGTAAAGGCAGACAGACAGACAGGCAGACACACACACACACACACACGTTGGGGTGTATGGAGAAGAAATGGGAGGAGGAGAGACTCCGTAGCTGTGGTTTGTCTGTCTGGCGGTGGCTGTAAGGGGGGAACTGGTTACTTTTGTAGTTTCTATTACAAAATATCTGACGAGCAACTTAAGGAAGCAAGGGTTTGGCTCAGCGGCGCGAGTGTGTGGTGGTTTGAGGAGACACAGTTCACCATGATAGGAAAGTCACAGCGGCACGATTGTGCCGTGGTGGGTAATAGCACATGAACAGGAAGCGGAGAAAGATGAATGCTGGCTCCCCGCTTGCTTTCTCCCCCCTTTCCTTTTTTGTTCAGCCCAGGACTCCCGCTCATGGACGATGCTGCCCACATTTGGAGTGAGGCTTCCCTGCTCGGTCAACACCCTGTCAGACACACCAGGGTATGTGTCTGAGGTGATTGGGAAACGAGTGAGGTTGACAGTTAGGACTAACCATCCCGAAAAGCCTATGAGGGAAAAGTGGATCCCGGCTGGAATAGGGGTGCTGGTGTCAGGACGGGGATGAGCGGTCCTCTGGTCCTCTGAGGAGTGAAAGGAGAGTAAATTGTTTGCACTTTTAAGCAGAAGCTTGGGAGAGCTTCGGGCATCCAGCAGAATAATCAGAGGGAAGTGGTTTCTTCTGGGCTCCTGGCTCATGGCTTGAAACTTAGGGTTGTCTGACCTCCAAACGACACGAAGATCCAGGGCTTCAGGTTCAAGGTAAGACTTGCATAGAGACACACAGAGGCTTTATCTGAAGCTGGGAACTAGCTGTCGGGTGGCAGTGCTGGCCATCTGGGCCACAAAGCTGCTATTGAAACCAGTCCCAGATGATAACTTGGCATGCTGGGTAGAAGAGGTTCGCTGCCAGAATATTGCTTTCTTCGTTGTGTTCAGTTCTGTGACGACTTAGGCCCAGATTTTATATTGGTTTCTAGGGTTTCTAGTAAAATTTCCTTTTTTTCTGCTTGGTTAAGGAAAAAATAACCCCACCCTTGGGATGCCCCCTGCTGGTGGCAGGAACTGCTGTCCCAGGGTAGTAGAGGTCAATGCAGTTTTAACCTCTCGGTTCCTGGCTGGGGTCCTATGAATCTAGCTACTTCAGACCATTTCTTTACAAGAGTCACTGTGCACTGCTCTTATTATGGGGCATTTCCAGGGCTGTGTGTGTTCGCCTTGGGGTGGTTCAGAAGGGCAGAGAGATGGTTGCAGGGCATATCACCTGGCGAGCTTTTCCTTCCTGATTACAGATGAATCACCTGTTCTCTCTTAGCCTCCAGCCGCTGCCCACATTACGCAAACACCTCTTCCTTTATCCAAATACTGCTGCGCATCTGTCAAATGGGGACATTTGCAGTCAGCCATATGCACAGCCAGGTGTGGTGGTGCATGACCAAAATTCACAGTTCAAGACTACTCGGGGCTACATAACAACCTATTTTTTTTTTTAAGAAAAAAAAAATCTACGCACACTTGTTCTCATCTTAAACTTTGTCCTGTCATGGAACTACAAGAAGAGCAGGTGGAAAGGAACTATGATATTAGAGCTAGGTCTGGTGCCCAAGTCAGTAATGACTTGGAGTGCTGCCCAGCTCACCTGACTCCTTGCAGACGTGGGAGGGGCCGGTGGAAAGCAAGCTCTGGGAGTGGACAGTAGTCCTCAGAGTGGCACTCATGGGGTGGGAAGGGGAAAATTGACCCTGATAGGCAACAGGAAAGTCGCAGAGGAGGGCTAACTCTGTCACCATCCTTCCTCCGCGTTTTCCACCACCTGTCAGTGGTTGATTGGAATACCGTTGTGGTTATTGATTAATGCCACGTTGGCAGGCGTTTTCCTGAGCTGTTGGTGATTCACCTGCTTTGTGGTTTCCAGCCTGAAAGTTGTAACCATCTGTTGTGAATTTAGTTTCTTCTCTTGAGGACCCACAGAGAGAAAAGGAAGGGAGGTGGTTACAATGCCCACCACGTACTGTATGCCTGCTGGGGTCTCTGGGGCTGTACTGTGGTGTCTAAGGAGCACACCTTTGATCCTCCCAAAGAGTCTACACAAGAGAGAAATAGGCACCCAGAGCTGTGGAGTACACCAGAGTGAGAGTGGCCTGTCACGAGTTTGGTTTTTTTTTTTCCCTGTGTAAAATTAGTGCATTGGAATTCAGCTGTAGGCTAACATATGGCTGCCTCGAGATTGCCAGGATTAACTTCTCCCTGATTCAGAACTCCCCATTCTGTCTCTGCCTCTTGTTTTGGTTGTGTTCTCGTCTAAGGC